CGCCCCGCCCCAGGCTTCCCCAAACCCTGAGTCTTCCCAGGACCCCGGGCTGCGAGGGTGCGGTTCGAGAAGAGGAAGCCTGAGCCCCGCGGGGACACGAACGGTAACGCCGCCCCCTGCCGGCCGTAGGAGAGGAGCAGCCAAGGCCGGAGGGGCGGGGGCGGGGGTCCATGCTAGGAAGCAGCTGTCCCACTGGGCAGCGCAGACCTGCTCCCCTCCTTCCCGACACAGTGGTGAGCCTTGGGGGAGGGGGAGGGGGCTTTTGGGCACCCCTCGGTGTCAAACACAAGTACTTTGCCTAGTGTGATCACAGCCTCCCAAGCCTCGGTTTCCCCGCCTGTGGCACCCACAGGATGTCTGCCCTAGGAGGTTGTCCCGGGGGTCCGTTGGGAGACCCCACCCTAGCTCTCCGCAGCAGTCAGTGCTCTGTGATTCCGGGGCCTCTCGCCTTCCTACAGGCTGCCCTGGACTGGAGCCTCTGCGACAGAAGTTGGCTGCCCTTCAGGGTTCCCACGCCTGGATCCTGTGGGTCCCTTCCGAGCAGCTGGCCATGCACTTCCAGGAGGTGGGTTCTCCGGCGACTCAGACTCCTTCCAGCGGCTGGGAGATCGGGTGGGGACCCGCACAGGAGGGGCAGAGGGTGTGGCCCTGCTGGGACCTACCCCCCAGGCTGGGGTGGGCAGACGTCCAGGGCAAAGAGAGTAGGGGGCTTCTGTGGGGGAGCCGGGCACCAGGCAGGGGTAAAGGGGAGGGAAGCAGAGAGAACGCAATGCATTTGCAGGAAAATGGATGCACCTTGAGACCACAGTGTTAAGTGAAATAAACCAGACACACAAGTTTAAATGTGCATGGTTTCTCTTATATAAGGGACCCAAAATATAAAGAAAGAGCAAAATAAAAGAGAATAGGAAACAGGGAGCTAGAGCTTTTGCAAATGGGAAGAGGACCTAGAGATGGAGGGAGAAGGGAGAGGAGGGAAAGGGGACTCAAAAGAATGAAGATGTGTTGGGGCCGGGGATTTAGCTCAGTGGTTCCTGCGCCTGCCTCACAAGCGCAAATATCAGAGTTCAATCCCCAGTACCGAAAAAAAAAAAAGAATGAAGATGTGTTATGTACACGGACCAGCTCCCACGAGGAATGCCACCAATGTCTACTGCAAACTTGGACTAGTAATAAAATTGAAATTTTAAAAAAGAAGGGGTTCTGGGGTATCCAAATTAGGAAGGTTGTGGTGGGAGGGCCAGGGCTAGGGGAGTTTCTGGGGCCTGGGAGGAAGGGGGTGACCCCAGGATTCCCACTGGGGGTGGGTTTCTGGCCCCCCGACCCCCACTCTCCGCAGGTACTGGCCAACTTGAGCTCCAAGACAGTGACGGGGCTCTTCAGAGCTCGGGTGCGGGCTGGCCTGGGGGGCCGCCGGGTGGTCTTCAGCGGCCTGGTGGGCCTGGAGCCAGCCACACTGGCCCGAAGCCTCCCTCAGCTGCTGGTGCAGGCCCTGCGAGCCTTCCGCTCAGCTGCCCTGGCCCAGGGAGAGCCCCCGGGGCCTGGGGTGGGGAGGACGGGGGCTGCCTCAGCCCAGCAGCCACAAGGGGGGCGCAGCGCTCCCGGAGGCTGAGGGGGCTGGGACTGTCCCTGGGGACTGGCACGTGGGGGTGGGTGGGCTCCTGGGGTCCTGTGTCTTCCCAGACGCGTGACCAGAGCCTCACAGCTGCTGTAATAAATGTTATTTATAAGCCACGGAGACACTGGAGTTCTTTGGGCGCCGATCGGGGTCGGGTGAGGGCGGAGCGGGGCAGTCTCCAGAAGCAGCTGGCAGAGGTCCCCGAGGTCTCAGGGCTGGGGGCAGCCCCCACCCGAGCACATCCCTGCCTCCGGAGAAGTGACAGCAGCTGGCCTGCCTGTCACCGTCCCACCCTCCCTGGTAGCTGCAGGACTCCCGCCCAGGATCTGTCTTCAGCCCTGGCACCTGCCTCGTCACCTGCCCTGAGGTGTCAGATGGCGTTTCCGGCTCCTCTTCCCTTTGCCCCTCCACCCCCGCCCCACAGCTGTCCCCTCTGCCCACCCTCAGTCCCCAGCCTGCAGTCCGGAGGGGCAGACAAGGATCTGGTCCTTCGGGCCGGATGGAGGGGCCTGTGCTGACCCTGGGGCTGCTGGCTGCCCTGGTTGTGAGCGGTAAGAGGGGACATTGCCCCCGCTTGGTCCGGAGTGCACCCCAGGTCCCCTGTTGCATGGCCTCCTCCCTGGGCTCATCCTCAACTGCCCACTCCTATTCCCGCATCTCTGCCGGAGCGGGGCTGGGTCCCCTGCCCAGTCCCACTCATCCCTCTCCCCAGGCAGCTGGGCCCTGAAGGAAGAGGAGCGGCTGATCCAGCACCTGTTCCAGGAGAGAGGCTACAACAAGGAGCTGCGGCCTGTGGCCCGAAAGGAGGAGAGTGTGGCCATCACACTGGCCCTCACCCTGTCCAACCTCATCTCCCTGGTGAGGCACCCCTGCTGGGCTGGGCTGGGCCAGGCAGGAGCAGGGACAGCTTCTCCGGGGCCCAGATGCCCGTGAGCCTCCTGTACACGGGCTTCTCTGAGCCCGCTGCTGCCCACAGGCCTCCTGCCCCCGGGGGCCTGCTCTTCCCTTCCCCCAGGGCACCCCCACACTCCCACACCACCCCCATGCCACCCCCAGCGCCATCTGCCCTCTCCCCCCTGCCTGGTCTGCCCACCCACCCTGCTGGTCGCTGCCCAGCTGCCCTGGCTCCCTCTGGTGCCAGCCAGATGAGGTCCCCAGTGGATGGGGGAGGACAAGGCCTTCTGGCCAGCCCTCCTGTCCACTTACAGAAAGAAGTTGAGGAGACGCTCACCACCAGTGTCTGGATAGAGCACGTAAGGAGGACCCCCACGGTGGGGCTGGGTGGGTGCAGGCCCAGGCTCCCCTGTGCCCGTGTCCCCTTGGGGATCCCCAGTCCCTCGAGGAGGTGTGGCTCCTCCCTCCAAAGGACCCAGGCTCAGCCACCTCTCTCCCACCTAGTCTTCTGCTAGATGCCTTTAAGAGGATTGGGGTTGATCTATGGGAAATTTGTCACTTTATCCTGATCTTCTTCAGAAGACACTCTTCTACTAAGTGTCAGAACTGTCAGAAGTTCCTAATATAGACACAGATCTTCCGTCCACGTGGAAATAATGCTCCATGACAGATCAGAGTCCCCTGTCTTTCTCTGTCTCGCCAGAGCTCTTAGAGCACAGCTTTCAGACCCTGTTCAGTCTTTCCCTGGGAAGCAGGGGCCATGGGAGAGGCTGGACAGGGGCAGGGCCCACTGCTGACATGTTTTTGGGCTTCCAGGGCTGGACAGACAGCCGGCTACAGTGGGATGCCAGTGAATTCGGGAACATCAGCGTTCTGCGCCTGCCCTCTGACATGGTGTGGCTCCCGGAGATTGTGCTGGAGAACAAGTTGAGCAGAGCTGCCCTATCCCCCGCCAAGCATCTCAGGCTCCCCTGCAGCCTGAACCCTGGCTGCCTCCTCTCTGCTTCCTCCCCATCCCTGCTAGTCCCTGGCTGGCCTGGGCTCACAGCAATCCTTGTCCCTGTCCCCCAGCAATGACGGCTCCTTCCAGATTTCCTTTGCCTGCAATGTGCTCGTCTACAGCTCGGGCGAAGTATACTGGCTGCCGCCTGCCATCTTCCGCTCCTCTTGTCCCATCTCCGTCACCTACTTCCCCTTCGACTGGCAGAACTGCTCCCTCAAATTCAGGTGCACCCCATTTTCCAGCCACCTCCCCCAAGCACCCCGCCACAGCGGCTTCTGGCAGAGGCCCCGACTTGTCCTGCTTAGAGCTCCCCTCCCCACCATGGCCTCCGTATCCCCTGCTGGTGGCCGAGGGTCACCTGTCCACTGCCATCCCCAGTTCGCTGAAGTACACAGCCAAGGAGATCTCACTGAGGCTGAAGGAGGAGAAGGAAGACGGCCGCCCCTACCTGGTGGAGTGGATCATCATTGACCCCGAGGGCTTCACAGGTGCTGCTGGGGCTGGCCAGGCCCCAGGACACAAACATGCATCACCCATCACAGGGACACCTTGCATACACTCACAACAGGCGAATGAGGCCACCCTGAGTGGGAGCAGCACCCCGCCCTGCCCAGGCCAAAAGACCAGTGGGAGCCACTGAGGGTGGCCTTGGGGACACAGGGTGGTTGAGGAATGGGTGCCATCCGATGAGTGTCACCCCTGTACCTTGGCTGTGACCAGGCCCACTGCCCAGCCCTGTCCATCAGAGAGACCTGCATCCTGCTGGTCTAGCCTGGGGTATCTCGTGGACAGGGTCCCATTATCCCAACACTGAGGCCCGGGAGGGACAGCTCTATTAAAATCAGCTTAACTATCTTTTTTTTTTTTTTTTTTTTTGGTGCCTGGGATCCAACTCAGGACCTTGCACTTGTGAGGCAGGTGGCAGAACCACTGAGCTAAATTCCCGGCTCAGCTTTCTTTTTTTAACTTAGGCAGACATGCTCAATAACTGGGAACCTTATTATTCTATCTCCTTAATCCGCACCCAATCTATGTTTGGCTTGTGACATTTTTTGAGCCAAAACGAACTCCTTATTTGGACCCTGTATGGCCTCAGCTTCTATTTTTTCCAAAGAGGAAGGAAAAAAAAGCCAGGTGTGGTGGAGCACACGTGTAATCCCAGCACTTGGGAGGTTAAAACAGGAGGATTGCAGTGAGTTCAAGGCCAGCCCGAAACTACAGAGTGAGACCTTGTCTCAAAAAACAAAAAGAGGGCTGGGGATTTAGCTCAGTGGTGCCGCCGCCTGCCTTGCAAGCACAAGGTCCTGAGTTCGATCCCTGGTACCAACAAAAAAGCAGAGAGAATCCTTCACAGAGGAAAACCTCCCCCGACACTGACTGAAACCCAGCCCAACCCGGAGACCCCAGGCAGAACCTGAGCCTCTCCTTGCCCACCCTGAGGACCCTGCTCCCCCTGCCCCTGAGCCATCCTTGTGCCATCTGCAGAGAACGGGGAGTGGGAAATCGTTCACCGGCCGGCCAGGGTCAACACAGACCCCAGTGCCCCGCTGGACAGCACCAGCCACCAGGATGTCACCTTCTACCTCATCATCCGCCGCAAGCCGCTCTTCTATGTCATCAACATCCTGGTGCCCTGCGTGCTCATCTCCTTCATGGTCAACCTGGTCTTCTACCTGCCGGCCGACAGTGAGTGCCCCCTCCTGCCCTGTCCCGCAGCCCCCCACTTCCCCTGGGGGCCGCGTGAGGCTTCCCCCCGGGGATCAGGCCTGTGGCCAGTGGCAGCACCCCAAGTGCTTGGAGTGCTCACGAGGGGCTTCTTCCCCGGACCCAGGAGAACAGCTGCGCCATCCTGCTGCCAGGGCACAGCCAGGCCTGGCGCCAGGCTGCTGTCAGCTGTTGGCTTGGTGGCTGGCTGGGGGGGGGTCTCTGGGGGGATGGGGCCTGGGGATGAATCAGGCCAGGCTCCAGAGGCAGATCCCACGATGTCAGGAGCAGCCCCTGGACAGAGGGTGGAGTCCACAGAACTGGGCAGGGCTTGTGGGGGGCTTCTGGAGGGGTGGGGCTTGGCCCCCGCAGTGGGAGAGGAGGAGCCGCTGCGGGACAGACAGCTCTGGCCTGGGTGTGGGCAGCACTGTGCCAGGTTCTGTGGGTGGGAGGCTGCACGTTGGGTGCCACGCTGGTCTACTGAGAACACTTGTCCCAAGTTAGGCCACACGTCCCCAGTCACCCAGCTAGTTAGTGGCAGAGCCAGAATTTGAACCCAGGCCCTCCGGGGCTGTGGCCTGGATGCTCATCAGGACAGCATGGCACTGTACAGTGGTGGCCGGCTCCACTGCGGGGACCCTGTGGGCCTGAGGTCCAGGGCGCAGCTCAGCCTGGCTTCCCAGGTGGTGAGAAGACTTCCATGGCGATCTCAGTGCTGCTGGCACAGTCCGTCTTCCTGCTGCTCACCTCCAAGCGGCTGCCTGCCACCTCCGTCGCCATCCCGCTCATCGGCAAGTGAGTGCGGCCTGTGCGCCCGCCCGCCCGCCCGCCCAGCTGGGCTCCAGCCTGAGTGTCGCCCGCAGGTTCCTGCTCTTCGGCATGGTGCTGGTGACCATGGTCGTGGTGATCTGTGTCATCGTGCTCAACATCCACTTCCGGACTCCCAGCACCCACGTGCTGTCCGAGGGGGTCAAGAAGGTGAGTACTAAGCCAGGCGTGGTGGTCCACACCCTGGGAGGTCGAGGCAGGAGGATCACAAGTTGGAGCTCAGTCTGGGCACCTTAGCCCTTTAGCAAAACCCTGTCTCCAAATAAAAAGGTTCTGAGGATGCTTATTCTGCTGTGAGCTTGTGACACTGCGGTTACAAGGAAGAAAGGGCTGGCCAGGGCGGAGCGCTTTCCTAGCATGAGTGAGGCCTTGGCTTCCATCCACAGCACTAAAAATAAAAATAAAAAAAGAAGAGGCCAGAAGGTGGGCGGGGTGCTCGGGACAGGGTGTCCCTGGCCTCTTGGCCCTCGCAGGCCCAGCGGCCGTTCTGGGCCCACAGGGGTGGTTTGGGAGCTCTCCTGTCTTTAAGCACCCAGAGGAGAGAGCTTGGAGTTTGGGCTTGGTCTGAGCTTTGGTCTTCGGTCTTTATCTTCAATGAC